AGCGATTTTGCCTTTGATGATCTTCCTGGGAGACCAGATTAAACACTTTAGACATGCTCGGGAGGGGCTCAATCATCAGGATTTGCCTCCGTGCTGGGTGGAAAGATTCGTTCAGTTTCATGAGAAACTGAACAACCTTTCTGCGTTCAAGAAGAGCAACGAACTTGTCTATAGCCTGGCAAGAACATCCACCGCAAGAACATACTGTTTATGGTTCATAGTTTTTGAGTTCTTCCCATAAAGTATTCAATGTGGTGAAGAATGAGTTGAGGTCGGTGCCCCCTTGTTGCAGAGTAGCAAGCTTCTGTTCAACACTGAATATCTTGGAAACGTTCTTCTGCTTGTAGCGAGTTTTGTAGTCCAGATGACGTTAGCGTCATCAAGATAGAGGATTAAAGAAGCAATCTCAGAAGAAACAGAGTTGCTGAGCCAAGTCGAAACCAGGGCATTACAGCGATGCCAGGCACCAAAATCGTGATGATCCTCCGATGGTTTGGGTATTGTCCCATAAATGAACCCCAACTTGTTTTTCGTAATGAGGGCTTTGATAACAGAGCGCGACCACAAGTTATAGTTGGATTCCCCGAGTAATTTTTCGGAGACAAGGGTAAAGCTTGAAGAGTTCGCGGCATGAAGAAAAAGAGGGTTGGAATAGGGATCAAGAGAGGGAACTGCAGAGAGAATGGGGTTAGAGGTGGATGAAAGATCTGGGTTAGGCTGAGGGGTTGGTGGTGTTGGGGGTAAATCAGATGCAGAGGAGGTTGCAGAAGGAGAGTTGTCTTCCATAGTTCAGAGAAGGAAAGATAAGAAGACTAGGTAAATAAACGAAAAAAAAGATAGAAGGGTAGAAGAAAGAAAGAAGAAAAAGAAAAGAGGGTTTAAGGTCGCTCTGATACCATTTTACCCTGCTGCAACTTGAAGACGAAGAACACTTTTCCAGAACTTGAAGAACACGTTTAGAGCTAAAGGAACACAGAGAGCTTTTGGGAAAAAGATGCTTTTTGTATATCTCAAAAATGCTTTGTACAAACTCTACTTATACACAAAAACAAATGAATAAAGAACATGCTATGTACCTACTAATCATTGAAAAAGTGATCCTATGTAGCTGTACGAAACCCTTATGCACAGACAAGAGGTGAACCCCCACATAACTCTGTAAGTGTTGCAGCAGAGATTGTCGGACAACAGTACAACCATTAATAAATGGTGAAGAAAGATTTGCTTAAAGCAGTGGATTACGTCATCCGTCTCACCGTTATGGTTGCGCAATCTCAATCGCAGGCGGAACGAATGAAACAACAGATGACGAAGGCCTTGCTGGAGCATATGAGGGAACGGTTTAAGAAGGCCTTTCAGGAACTTACGAAGGAACAGATTACGAAGGCCTTGCGGGAATGAGTACCGTCTCTTACCAAATATCCCTACCCATGCCCAATTTTTTTTTTTATTTCCATATTCAGATTTTTATTGTTTAGTTTTATAATTTGCTTATCACATATATGTGTGTGTGTATATATATATAGCTTGTTCAAAAATAGATCGACATGTAAATATATTATTAATATAAATATCATGTCCGTTTCTCCTGAGTATTCTGATATCGATGTCGTGTATAAATATTCATGGATTTTACCTTTTGATCGGTAGAATATTTTTTACTTGATGAGATCAATGTGTTTTTGATGGAATAATATTACTGTTGGGTTTTAGTTTCTTTCGTTTCCAAAATCTTAGTTTTTAAAAAATATAACTCCAAAAGATATTATTGGTCAACTATTATCCACAAAGATTTTTTTTAATTTTATTTGTATAAAAAAGATTAAAAAGAAAAGGAAAAAGAGAAATTCGATGCTGATAAAAATTTACGAAACCCATCACAACTAGAATATAATAAAATCCTAAACATGAAAGGAAAAGGTTTTTCTTTTCTTATATAAACACTAGTTTGTTCTCATAAACCCTCCGTACAATAGAAAGAGATATCCAATGCGTTTCTTAATGGCGATTTGACTGAGGACATCTATATGACAATTCCGCCAGGGTACTCTGTTCTTCAGGGGAAGCCGATTCCACCTAACTTAGTTTGCAAGCTGCGAAAATCCTTATATGGTCTCAAGCAAGCCTCCCGCCAATGGAACATCAAGATTTCAGGTGTCTTACTTGCTTCTGGGTTTCTGCAATCAGTTGCTGACACTTCAGTCTTTGTTCGACGCGTTGGGTCCAGTCTTGTTGTGGTTCTGATTTATGTCGATGATATTCTCCTATCTGGCAATGATTCTACACTTATTGATTCCACCAAAGTTACACTACAAAGCAAATTTGAGATCAAGGATCTTGGGCCACCGCAATACTTCTTGGGTATTGAAATTTCTCGATCTTCTACTGGTATTCATTTGTGTCAGCGAAAGTATGCTCTGGAATTGCTAGAGGAATATGGTCTGTTGGGTTCGAAGCCTGTTCACACTCCTACGGATCTTAAGGAGAAATTGACTCATGATTCGGGTGAACTTCTATATGATGCGTCTTTCTATCGACAGCTCATTGGTAAACTTATTTACCTTTCTGTCACACGACCGTATATATGCTTCGCCGTCCAGAAACTCAGCCAATTCATGTCCTCTCCTCGTTCGCTCCATTTACAGGCTGCCTTCCGAGTTCTGAAATATCTCAAGTCTGCTCCATCACAGGGTTTACTGTATTCAGCCTCGTCTTCTCTAACTCTGAAGGCATACTCTGATGCTGATTGGGCTTCATGCCCCAATACACGCCGCTCTATCACGGGATATTGTGTGTTTCTCGGTAATTCAATGGTTTCATGGAAATCTAAGAAGCAATCCACCGTTTCTAGAAGCATCACTGAATCTGAATATAGGGCTCTTGCACAGACAGGATGTGAACTTATTTGGATCGATTCTTTGCTCAAGGATTTACACATTTCCTGTCAGCGCCCCTTTAACATCTACTGTGATAATCAGTCAACTTTGCATCTTGCCCGGAATCTAGTTTTATATGAACGGACCAAGCACATTCGGCTTGATTGTCATTTCATCCGCCAGCATATCTCTTCCGGTCTTCTACAGCCATTACATGTTCGATCCAATGACCAAGTTGCTGATTTGTTGACTAAACCCTTAGTCTCGGATCAGTTCAAGTTTCTCCTCTCCAAGTGGGTATACATAACTTGTATGCCCCATCTTGAGGGGAGTATTAATGGTTGTACTATTGTCCGACAATCTCTGCTGCAACACTTACAGAGTTATGTGCGGGTTCACCTCTTGTCTGTGCATAACGGTTTCGTACAGTTACATAGGATCACTTTTTCAATGATGTAATAGGTACATAACATGTTCTTTATTCATTTGTTTTTGTGTATAAGTAGAGTTTGTACAAAGCATTTTTGAGATATACGAAAAGCATCTTTTTCCCAAAAGCTCTCTGTGTTCCTTTAGCTCTAAACGTGTTCTTCAAGTTCTGGAAAAGTGTTCTTCGTCTTCAAGTTGCAGCAGGGTAAAACCATTCTCATGGTCTCTCTTTCGTGTTTCAGATCGGAATGCTTCTTCTGATCCAGAAACTTTGACATTGCGTAAGAAACCCGCGATTTGACAGAACGAGTCGTCATCTTTGCCGCCTCCATGTAAATCCTGACGAGGTCATTCCGACAGTTGTTCAACTTCCCAGTGATATCTCTGCCGCGTTCTGTCAAACCCCTAAGCTCGTCAAGGAACGTTTCGTCGCTGGCAAATCCTGTTCGGCGACGAAACGTTCCTTGACGAGCTTAGGGGTTTGACAGAACGCGGCAGAGATATCACTGGGAAGTTGAACAACTGTCGGAATGACCTCGTCAGGATTTACATGGAGGCGGCAAAGATGACGACTCGTTCTGTCAAATCGCGGGTTTCTTACGCAATGTCAAAGTTTCTGGATCAGAAGAAGCATTCCGATCTGAAACACGAAAGAGAGACCATGAGAATGGTTTTACCCTGCTGCAACTTGAAGACGAAGAACACTTTTCCAGAACTTGAAGAACACGTTTAGAGCTAAAGGAACACAGAGAGCTTTTGGGAAAAAGATGCTTTTCGTATATCTCAAAAATGCTTTGTACAAACTCTACTTATACACAAAAACAAATGAATAAAGAACATGTTATGTACCTATTACATCATTGAAAAAGTGATCCTATGTAACTGTACGAAACCGTTATGCACAGACAAGAGGTGAACCCGCACATAACTCTGTAAGTGTTGCAGCAGAGATTGTCGGACAATAGTACAACCATTAATACTCCCCTCAAGATGGGGCATACAAGTTATGTATACCCACTTGGAGAGGAGAAACTTGAACTGATCCGAGACTAAGGGTTTAGTCAACAAATCAGCAACTTGGTCATTGGATCGAACATGTAATGGCTGTAGAAGACCGGAAGAGATATGCTGGCGGATGAAATGACAATCAAGCTGAATGTGCTTGGTCCGTTCATATAAAACTAGATTCCGGGCAAGATGCAAAGTTGACTGATTATCACAGTAGATGTTAAAGGGGCGCTGACAGGAAACGTGTAAATCCTTGAGCAAAGAATCGATCCAAATAAGTTCACATCGTGTCTGTGCAAGAGCCCTATATTCAGATTCAGTGCTGCTTCTAGAAACGGTGAATTGCTTCTTAGATTTCCATGAAACCATTGAATTACCGAGAAACACACAATATCCCGTGATAGAGCGGCGTGTATTGGGGCATGAAGCCCAATCAGCATCAGAGTATGCCTTCAGAGTTAGAGAAGACGAGGCTGAATACAGTAAACCCTGTGATGGAGCAGACTTGAGATATTTCAGAACTCGGAAGGCAGCCTGTAAATGGAGCGAACGAGGAGAGGACATGAATTGGCTGAGTTTCTGGACGGCGAAGCATATATACGGTCGTGTGACAGAAAGGTAAATAAGTTTACCAATGAGCTGTCGATAGAAAGACGCATCATATAGAAGTTCACCCGAATCATGAGTCAATTTCTCCTTAAGATCCGTAGGAGTGTGAACAGGCTTCGAACCCAACAGACCATATTCCTCTAGCAATTCCAGAGCATACTTTCGCTGACACAAATGAATACCAGTAGAAGATCGAGAAATTTCAATACCCAAGAAGTATTGCGGTGGCCCAAGATCCTTGATCTGAAATTGGCTTTGTAGTGTAACCTTGGTGGAATCAATCAGTGTAGAATCATTGCCAGCTAGGAGAATATCATCAACATAAATCAGAACCACAACAATACTGGACCCAACGCGTCGAACAAAGACTGAAGTGTCAACAATCGATTGCAGAAACCCAGAAGCAAGTAAGACACCTGAAATCTTGATGTTCCATTGGCGGGAGGCTTGCTTGAGACCATATAAGGATTTTCGCAGCTTGCAAACTGAGTTAGGTGGAATCGGCTCCCCCTGAAGAACAGAGTACCCTGGCGGAATTGTCATATAGATGTCCTCAGTCAAATCGCCATTAAGAAACGTATTGGATACATCAAGCTGTGACAGAAACCAATTCTTCGATGCAGTAAGAGCAAGGATGATACGAACAGTGGTTAATTTCGCCACTGGACTGAATGTATCCAAGTAATCTAGTCCTTCAACTTGAGTATACCCTTTGGCGACGAGTCTGGCTTTATGACGTTCAATCGATCCATCAGCATTGTATTTGGTCTTGAAGACCCATTTGCAACCAATGGGATGTTTTCCCGCAGGAAGAGAGCAGATGTCCCAAGTACAAGCTCGAATGAGAGCCTCAAGTTCAAGCCGTATAGCTGATCTTCAGGTTTCTGACTTTGCTGTTTGGGTATAAGTCTTAGGTTCAGAAGAGGTGAGTAAAGAAAGAGCAAACAATTTGTAAGAAGGAGTAAGTTTGGAATACGAGAGAAAATCAGATAAGGGGTATAAGGTTGTGGGTGATGTTTGTGGTGGGGCATTATGTTTGAGAAAGTAACAATGGTAATCCGAGAGGTATGCTGGTGGCTTAGTCTGGCGTTTTGACTTACGTAAGTTTTCATGATGTTCAACCAATGGTAGTGGGGTGGAAGAATCAGAATCGGTTGGGGATAAAGAACGAACAGAAACAGGAATAGTCTCTGATGACACAGATTGGGAGGATGAGGAAGAGTGAGGGACAGAAGTGTCATATAAATGAAAAGGGGATGGAACAGAAGGAAAAAAATCGAGAGTTGCAGAAGGCAAAGGAGAGGTTTTGATAGGGAAGACATTTTCATGAAAAATAACGTTTCGGGAAATCATGATGACATTCGTTTCAAGGTTCATAACCTTGTACCCTTTGATACCATGGGGATACCCAAGAAACACAGATGGAGATGCTCTCGGAGAAAATTTGTGGCGATCTCTTGAATAGGTGGACACAAAACACAGACACCCAAATGTTTTAAGGTGATGATACGAAGGTTTGCTTTGAGTAAGGATCTCATTGGTGATTTGTGGTTAAGCAAGGGAGTCGGAATTCGGTTTATAATGTAGACAGTGGTTTAAACACATTCACCCCAATATGATAGGGGAATATTTGACTGAAATAAGAGAGATCGAGCCACGTTTAATGTGTTGGTGTTTCCGTTCTACAATGGAATTCTGCTCGGGTGTGTAAGGACAGGAAAAGTGATATGTGATTCCTTTTTGTAAGAAAAGTTCGGTGAAAGATAGTTCAGGCGCATTGTCTGAACGGACAACCTTAACATCAACATTATACTGAGTTTTAACCAGGTTTAAAAACGTGGAAAAGGTTGACAGAACATCACTTTTTGAAGACAACATATATAACCAGGTTACACGAGAGCAATCATCCACGATTGTCGAGAAATATTTAAATCCATCATAAGTAGGTAAATGGAAGGGTCCCCATGTATCAATATGAAGCAAATCAAAAGGGTGTTTTGACAAATGACCACCAACGGGAAACAAAAGACGCCTCTGTTTAGCAACAGGGCAGACACTGCAGTATGTGTTTACAGACTTTGTAGGATCAAAAGAAATCTGAGAAGATTTAGGTAAAAGATGAACTTTGTAACTAGAGGGATGACTCAAACGGCGATGCCAAAGATCAGCGGATGACGCAGAGACAGTTGTACAGATGGTCCGAGAAGATGAAGAAGACGGCATCTGTAAAACATAGAGATGATTGACTTGCTCACCCTTCCCAATCATCAAGCCTTGCAAAAGGTCCTCACTACAAGAAAAGGGTGACGCAAAAAGTGACGCAAATTTTACGTCACGAAAAGGATGACGCAAAAGTGACGATTTTGTGACGCAAAAGGTGACGCAACAAATGCGTCACAAAAGCGTCACTAAATAGTGACGCTTTTGTGACGCAAACTACAGCGTCACCAAATGGTGACGCAGTGATGACGCAAAATTGCATCGCCAAATAACGCGTGGAAATATCGTCACCCGTTCGTCACCCTTGCGTCACCATTTGGTGACGCAATTGCGTCATTATATGATACTGACGCAATTTCGTCACAAAAAAGTTGGTGACGAAATTGCGTCATTAATAGTGACGCAATTGCGTCA